CATCCAAAAAGAAATCTCATGGGACCAAACTAAAAAATCTTATTCTCTCAGATGAGCTCAGGTAGTAATGAAAAAAAAATATGAAAATATGTTATGAATGATATGAAAACGATATCATTTTTTATTCTTTCTACGCGAAACATCAGGCCAAAAGGAAATGAGAATAAAAAACGTGTAACTGGATTGCAAACTCCTGCACTATCATTAACTCCGATGCAAAGTATCACATCACCTAATAAAAAGACACACCAAAGATCTCAATCTGATGCCACTGGATTATTTCAAACTTTACGTCGTAGCCATTCCGGTAGATGAATTATGCAAATTAACATGCTATTTTATTATGAAATAATAATAATAATAATAAAAGTAACAAATTTTATGCAAGGATGAATTTCATCACATAGTTACGATTTATTTTAAGGTACAATAAATAAAGTAAGTCTTGGGGACCTGAGCTCTGGTCGAGCATTTGATAATGGTTGTACCTGTTTTTACTCCTGCCAAGGTGTGGTAAATGATTTACGAGGACAAAAGACCGATTGTTTTTGCAATGTAATTTAATTATTTTTCTTAACATTTAGATCTTCCTGTCTTATATGTGTGTAAATTTAATTAAAATATAATTTCGTATTTGTAGGCGCCACGTCTTGCCCCAGAACTTGAATTTATACAAGCATTAATATCAATTGGTAAATTACTTGGAACTATTCCAACAAAGGAAAGTAAAACTGTTCAATTAATAGCAGAGCTTAATACTCTCAATTTGAATCTCCCTGCAAGGGTGTGGCTTCCTTTGCACAGTTCAATACCACATCATATCGTACGAGTGCCACCACAATATGCTGCTGTCCTTAATAGCAAAGATAAGGTGAAGAATTTTAAATAATTTGTTATAATTATAATTGTGATTTCTTTTATCGATATATATTAATGTGTTTTAAAATACGTAGGCACCATACATAATTTATGTTGAAGTGTTAGAAGTAGAAGATATATATACGTCACCTGTACCGACAAAAATAGTGGGATGTTCATTGAGGCATACTAAATCTGAAGAAAATTTAACTGGAGGCGAACAATCTAATGTAATGGGTTCATCAAACATATCCACTTCAGAAACACAACAGAGTATGCCACCGATTAGACAAACTCCGGTAAAAAATATTTCTCCGTATTCGGTTAGAAGTACGGAAGTTGCATTTAATTTTCCTGATGACGATCCTAATGATTGTTGGAGTCAAGAAGATGATGAAATCACTCAACAGGTATTTATTTATAGATTTTTTCTTTTTCTTAGAAAACATTAATTTTCAACAATTTTACTTTTCTACATAGTATTTACAACTTCGAAAGCCAAAAGATAGAGACACAATATCTCAATTAAGCCAAGACTCATCAGATAGTAAAGAACCAATATTTGTACCTGGTGATATAAAAAGGCGGTTAAGTGAAATGGCCGCTGCGCCTAGTGCAACGTTTAATCATGATCCAGAAGATCCATCGGCTGCAGTTTTGAAGGAACCATGGGAATTAAAACAACGTCGCATAAGATCTTCCAGTCCATATGGTCATCTAGCATCTTGGAGGCTTCTTGCTGTTATTGTAAAATGTGGTGATGATCTGCGACAAGAACTTCTTGCTTCACAGTTACTTTCAATGTTACAAAAAATTTGGCAAGATGAGCAAGTACCTCTCTGGGTGCGGCCATACAAGTATGAATGATTTTATTATCATAAATATTTTAACATTTTATTATTATAAAACAATTTGTTGAATATGAAATTTCATTTTACAGAATTTTGTGCTTATCAAATGATAGTGGTTTAATCGAGCCAATTTTAAATACTGTGTCACTTCACCAAGTGAAGAAACAGTGCCAATTAACACTTTATCAATATTTTGAACGAGAATTTGGCCCATCCACGTCAGAAGCATTTATTATTGCGCAAAGAAATTTTATTCAAAGTTGCGCAGCGTATTGTCTTGTCTGTTATCTTATTCAGGTTAAAGATCGTCATAACGGGAATATTTTACTTCATAGTGATGGTCATTTAATACACATAGACTTTGGATTTATTCTTTCAACTTCACCAAGAAACTTAGGATTTGAGACTAGTCCGTTTAAATTAACCCCGGAATTTGTGGAAGTAATGGGTGGAAGCCAATCTAAACAATTTCAAGAATTTAAAAGTTTAATTTTACAAGGATTAATCGCAGCACGAAAACATATGGAAAAAATAGTAAATTTAGTGGAAATAATGTTGTCAGGTAAAGTTTACATAAAGCTTAATGTGATAATTAATTTATTTACTTATTATTTATTATTACAGGATCGCAACTTCCATGTTTTCGTAGTGGCGGAGCAGCAACAGTTCAAGGATTAAAAAATAGATTCCATTTAACATTAACGGAAGATCAATTACGTCGACATGTAGAGGATTTAGTCGAAGCCAGTATCCATTCGTGGTCTACTAAATTATATGATCGGTATCAGTATTTCGCAAATGGCACTCTTTAATAACAATAATAATAATAATAATAATAATAATATCAATTTCTATCTATCTGGCAAAGATAATGATTTTTATAAGAAAGAAAAAAGAATTTAAGTTAATAATATGGTACTTCCAGGAACGTTTAAACTTTATAGCATTCCGTATGCACAAATTATCTTTGAAGTTAATTATCCGATCAAATACAAGTATGATCGATAAATGGGAAATGCTATTTAAAAAAAAAAAATAGATTTATTCCAAATATATATAGGATAAGCTAATTTCAATAGATTAATTTTATTTACTCCTGAATTATTCCTTAGTTTCTTAAAATATTATAATAATTATCTTTATAAACATTTGTACAAATATTATATTCATTGATAATTAAAAATAATTTATGAAAAACATTGTTTACAAAAATTTCGTCTCTGCTGTAAAAAAAAAAGAAAATGATGAATGAAACAGGGAATAATTTACGAAATTTTAATTGTTACGTTAAGTAATATTAAATATATATAACTGGTTTTGTTGTATACGTTAAAATGACTACGTATGCCTTATTGGCAACTGAAGTTAACTAATCGTCGGTGCAGACTTTGTGACGTTGACTGAATGTTGGACTGCTAGATCGTAACAGCCTATAACAGCATAATTTGTTAAAGGTGCCTTATTTGTAGAAAATGGCGGAACGATCAAATCCGAACACAGTGAAGTGACTATGTGCGTTGATCTACTGACAAAACTGATCTATTACAAAAGGGACAATCTATAGTTTGTACATAAATACATTGCGTGAACTTTTGTCGAATTCCTTTCGTAGTTAATTTTCGGCAATAAGTAATCCCACCATGATGGTATGAAGGAATTATATGGTGTTTAAGATTTATGCAGAATCTTCGAAAGAAAGAAGCATGTACACAAGCTCAGATATTAGCGCAGGAGACGAATACTCAAAATATTTCCTACTTTATAGATTACTACTATTATAAATACATTTAATTATAATGATATGCTAAGGATAATTATATAGTAAAAATTAAGGATCACATTTGAAAGTTTTTACATGTTCTTATTGCACACATACATTAATAGTGATAATGCGAATATCTTAGTTGTGTGGAGATAGTTATTTAATAGTATTTCTGCGTTACATATGTTCGTTTAAGTAAATAAATTATAAAGTAAAAAAGTATTGTACATAAAGTGACAAATTTTATCACTTATTAGTTAAGCTTAATTGAGAATGTTTGAAGTAAAATCAAAGTCATAGCGAGTCAGCCCGTATATGAAATCTGGGCTCTCTGACTTCCAAGTGTCTTAACTCTCTTTTTTTCTGTCATACCCGTCTCATAATAGAAAGGCGGATCAGAGATTAAGAATAATTGATATTGGATAATGCTCAATATACTTTGCATTTTAATAATGTACGGTTGCGTAATATTCTTACGCTAGTTTTTGTTGAATATTTAATGCAATTTTGCTATTTACCGTAAGGAATTCTAATTATCTAAGATTTTTCATTGATTTTATCAAATAAATTCTACATTTTCTGTACAATTCGAAATATTAACATCTCTGATTTGCCTTGTTACTTCGTCACTAATTATGAGCTATTGATAATATCAATTATTAAATAAATATAAAATCTAATCAAATCTATCGTTAATTGATATACCCAAACATCTTAGATTAGATAAAAAGATTTGAATACAAGAATGTGAACAAAGAAGTACAAAATTGATTCAAGGATATTTGAATTTTTATTAATTATACATTGATTACAATGCAACATTTTCAATCGTTAATTAAATATTAATTAATTCTATAAATACATACATATTAAGATATTATCAGTCATAAGAAATTTGAGAAGACCTTAATTAATTAAATATGTCTTGTAATTTTTAAAACATTAAAAATATTTTAGAATTTATTGATTTATGCTTAATTACCGTGTACATAAAATCAATAAAAAATTTTTAAAGACTGAAAATGTTAATTTTTATAAAATCAGTGCCTAAAAATTTATGTCTATGTTTTATATATCTATAAAAAGTTAATGTACCCAAAACATAAAGTAACTTTTTAAAAAACTAAACAAATAGTCTTATAAAAGCAAGGCGAAACATTCACGAACTCCAATTCATTATAAAATTATAATAACAAATAATAATAATTGAAATATCTTTCTTATTAATCTAAATTATTATTATTTCTTTATTGCACTTTATCATTAATGTAAATTATTACTTATATTTATTGCTAATAAAGATATTTACAAAATAAAATATATTAAAATAATTTTTACTAATTTTTATTAATCATTTAATCTATCGTTTCGGGAGACTACGAGGATTCCGATTCATTGCAAGAACTACCAAAGTCTACTATGAAATACTGTATTTCTTGGTATAATTCTCATGTGATATGATCACTTCGTATCACTTTTTTTTTATTTCCTTTTTTACCACAGGTATTTTCTGATTCTTCTTTTTGTATTTCATTTATTGCACCTCTCAGTGGTGCGTCTCAGATTCCTATCTAGTCTGCAAACTATCAACCACTTTATGAAACCTGCGCAGAGCACAACGAAGATTCAGAATTCAACTTGCGTAGTATCAACTGAGAAACCTTGAGCAGTAATTCAGTTATAAAATCAACCTTGGGTAGCTCCAACTGTGAAAAAAAAGACCTGAAGAAGCGGTACTTTTATTTTTACAAGAATATAACAAAACTAAAATTTACAATTAACGATAACAAAATTAAAAATTCTGTATAATTCGAAAATCTGTACTTACGGTCCGTCACGGCTGGTTGCAGATACCGGTTCCGGTTCCGGTTACAGAATACAGAAATAAAATAAGACTCCAACCAGCAGTGAATGATGTAAAGAGCTCAAGAATATTTATTATTTTTGTTATATATGTATTTATTTATTATCATAGATATAGACATTCATAGTACTACTGTATTAATGTATAATATTAGTATAAATATTTAATATATGTGATTTTATTTGGTATTAGAAATATAATATTTATGATTCTTTAATTTGTATTAAATTGCAAGAAATACTATTTATAAATAAAATAATGTAAATGTAGATAAAATTTAATAATGCTGAGTTGTTTATAATAATTGTTTTAGTGAAGATATAAAACAAACAGGATATAAAACAAAGTCTGAGTATAATTTATTATAAGAAGGAAAACGAAAATTTACAATTAGTAATTTGTCAATGTATCGTATCGATAATAAAAATTCATCACAGAATACACATGATTTCATATCCTACAATTGATGAATATGACAATGAAAGCATAAGTATCATAAATATCACAATACATTATGATTACAGAGATCATTAAAATATCTTATATTCTAGAAAGTTGTTGTAATAAATTAGAAGGTAAAATTGCTTCTAATTTATCTAGAATATAACAAAATGGATGAGAAAACCAGACAAGCATTGATCGTGCAACTACACCCATAGTATCAGGATATTGATGTGTTAAAAGTGCTAAGAGCGCGGTAAAGGAGCACAGACCTGCTGTAAACAAAATAAAAAAGGGCAATTCCTTTTTAGGATAAACGCTAACATCGTGAAATGACGGTAACAATTCACGATCTGCACATTCAGTGCATGTTGGATATGGATAAAATAAATGTCCTCTTTCTAAAGGATAAGGTAACATTCTAAAAGTACCTTCCCATGTACAGTGTAATAAATTAAGAGCACCTTCCATTTGTTTCCAATGTGCAAGATGGAAGAATGCATAAGCAATTGCTTCAGAATCCCCTCTTTTTAATACATGTTCTGGAGGCAAAATTAAAGGTTTCATTTCTAATAAATATTTAGGTACATGAGGATTAAATTCAACAGCTCTGTGAATAGCTTCAACTGCTATCATTTCTGGAGTAGTTAACCCTCTTTTACTAGCAATATCTGTTGAAAATTTATCAGCAACTACTCGTGCTTTTAATAGCGCAGCTGTATAACAAATAGTTGCTGATTTTGGTAAACTAATATCATCATATTTTGCTAATACTGCTTGAACATCTGCATATGCTTGCATTTCTAATAAAGCTTCAATTAAATTTTCATGAATGTTTAACACATTCATAATTGGTGGAACTTCTTTTGTCAGATCTCTGAACATTTTTACTGCTTCTTTTAATTTCCCTAATTTTCTTGCACACATAGCTAATCTTCGTTTAACATAAATTAAAACATTTGTATCTCTTCTGTGTATAGCCTCTGCAATAGCTCCTTGATGTTGAGTACTTTGAGATTTTCTGTAATTGTTCTCTGCTACTTTTAAAGCTTGCTTTAAAATTTTTTCTGCTTCTACGATAGTAGTAGCTTCTTCTTCAGCAAGTAAAATATATGCAGGAGCACAATCAGGATTACGCTCAAGGGCACTGTGTGCAGCTTTTATTCGAACTACTGGATTTCGCTCTCTCCAAGCTGTTTGCATAATTTCATACTCAGCTTTACCTATTAAAAATAAACAATATTTGATAATATGCTAGTTTGTAATAATTTCACAATATGCTAATATTACTTAAACAATATTTACCTGTATCGCCTTCACAGGTAAAAAATGTTTGATGATCTTGAGCAGACAAATTCATATCATAATATGTTAATGGTTCTTTGTTTGTAGCCCAATAAAATCTTTGATATTCAGCCCCTCTAAATAAATTTATTGGATTACGCCAAACTTTACATTCTGGAACATTTTGTTGATTTGAATTTGAACCATTTAGACTTGAGTTATTGCCATCTGTTCCACTGTCACCACCACCAATCCATGGTGAAATATGATTTAAAGATACTTGTTCAATAAAAGACGTGCCATATTTTCTAAAATACCACCATTCAAAAATTAGAATTAATCCAGAAATCAAAGATGACGTTCCTGTGAGTGCAACATAAAATTTTGGGGTTAAGGTGCTCAAAAACATTGTAGAATCCCACATGCTTGTGAATAATAGGGCCATTTATAATACAACACTGAATGTATTACTTTTGAATCGTTTCTGGTTGCACTATTATATTACTGTTGTATAAACAGTTTTTAATTAATAAGCATCGTAACACCGTTAACGTTTTTATTATGTTCTTACATTACCCAGAAAATGTTACTTGTTTTATTCTATTCTAACTAATAAAACTAAAAGAGAGATATAATCTCAACATTTACACATGTTTCTTTGAAATTTGAAACAATGCGTAACTGTTTTCATCGTATTATTATATGTGATAGCATTTATTTTGTCTGAAGTTGTCGAAATTAGAACCCAACATTGCAACGAGATTTTTCGAGATTTGTAAAGCTTATTGATGCCACAATTCTTTCTAGAAACGCTTTAAACTCTATAATTCTTGGGTGCAGATAAAAATGGAAAAAAAGTATCGATCCAAATAAGCTGTAATGTTATTTTTATTTTGTAATCAGTCGCATTGCAATGTCATCATTTCTTAACGCAAACATTAAGCAATGTAAGTAGATTCGCATACGTATTAATAATTTCAAGATTATAATTATACAATATTCCATATAATGTATTGACATTACAATTATGTTCGTCTATAATTTAAATATAATATGATGGTTGTGCGAAAAAATAAAGAGATATAAGATTACTATTCTATTTTAAAGATCTAATTTAAATTTTCCAAATTTACTACTACATACTAATTTTTGTAGCGACATCTATATCCTCCGCGCTAAAATCAATCGCGTGCATTTTCGTCAGAGATTCTTGCTGAAATATGGAATGTACACATGGGCGTAGTAAACATCACTTTTTTTTAATTATTTTGGTATTGTATATTTCATTACATACATTTTTATATTTTGTCACAGAGCTCCTTATATCTTCCGTTCGTACGGAGCGGTTTATACAACAAAACTGTTTTAACTTCTATTAAGTTTCAAAGTGTAAAAAATATAAAAAATGGTCTTTCTTACGATCGGTATCCAGAAACCTTCCTTCAGTCAACTTCATCCTTATAAGCATTTTTTCTGTAATAGTATTTCAATTATAAATAATACAATCGGCACGCAATATTATCGTCTTCTTTTTCAGCAAAATCATTATTTAAATATGTATCGAATTTAAAAATTCACACCAAAAAAACAATGCGAGATATACTATAGATACACAATATTTAAAGAAGTTTATATTATTTCACATTACAATAAGAAGATGTTATGTATATCTTTGACCTAACACGATGGATTTCATTGATCCATTAAGATCATACTGTTTATTATGGTACAGAAAAATATTTTATATATTTGTGTATGGGTGTGCGAGTTATTTACCATTTAAATGCAGTTTATGGAATAACATGATAGATAATGACAAAATTACTATCAAAGTAATTGGCATAATTTGTAGGCGTACTTTAAATATATAATTATCAATATAAATGTCAATTACAAAGTTATCAATTACAATGTTAAAAAATCAATTTAATGTATAAATAAATTCAAAAAATCTTAAGTGGACATAAAATTTCTTTTTTATCAATTTTAAAAATGTTTAACATCGAAATGTTTTTTTAAATTGTTACTTAATTTAATTTATTATTTGTTGTATATGTTGCACTTTTTCGTAGTTTCTTTAAACAGTCGATAATGATTGTATCCATTTCTTTAAAATTAACGTCATTGAAATTTAACGCTCATCTTAAAAAATTTTCTCTTCACGTTACGTAAAGAAAGTAAATTATAATTTATATCTTGTATATTATTAATGGATGTCAATCATTTAAATATAAATAGTTGAGATTAATTTTGAATGCACACTCTGTATGTAACAAAGAAATGATATTTGCTTTTTATCGAAAGTTTATTTGTCGATAGTTACCCAAATGGATGTTCAGCTCTGTTTATGTATATATCGGTTTGATAATTAATAAAAAGGCAACAAGTATGTCATAAATAATAAAATATATATATATATGTGTGTGTGTCTGTGTGTGTGTGTGTGTGTGTAGATTATGAAGAAGAGTTTGATATTGCCGCCCGGCCTGCGCTCAGCTAAAATCAATGAGTCTACCCGGCGAATGTCTCAGTGCGACTCCACCAACGTCGCGTCGAACCTGTGCTCTGTCTTCCCTGTTCTGTGACTTTTCCTTTCTTTTTCCACAAAATTCGAATTATCGTCTGATGAGAATCATGTAAGATTAGATATCGATATGCCTAGTCAAGAAGATATGGACCTTTGTACCGACAAGGTACTGTCCAAAGGAAGAATTCTTCAGGAATTAACCAAAGCTGTCAAATTGGTGAGTGTCTGCTTCGGCATAGGGACGACGTATCAAGGCCATACGTCTATATACATATATATACATATATATGTACATATGCACTTTCCTAACGCGAATTTTTATATATATACTGAATTAACGGCTCCTCCGAAACTCTTCTCTAAACGATTTAGATAGATTTTCATTTCTTTTTCCTCGCAGATAAATACGACTTTACTTGAAATATTTAACTATGACGAAACAGCTGAAACTGCAGTGGCACGCACTTGCACGCTGTAGTGCGTGTATCAAACGTTTAACAGTTAAATGCGTTTTATTGTCTTTATTGTTTTTGAACGCGAAACTGTGTTGAAGAAGTACATGTGCTCCTCTCGTCATCATGATTTCCCGTTTCTCACTCGCAACTTACTCAACATCTTGTTCCACGTCGTGGCTCCTCCACTGACGTACGTGCTTTTACCTCTTTGTTCGTATTATTGTCAACTATATTATTTCATTATTGTTCGATGAAATCCTCGGTGATCGATAAATCTTGATTTCGTCATTTTGTAAACTATTTCACGTTTAATCTTGATTACCTGTTGTTGTTAATACCCTAACTAACTATTTAATGTTTAATATTTTATATTGTTTAATATAACGTTTATAGTAATAGGAGTCATTAAACAAGTATAAATATGTTATATTTATCTTTAAAAAATATTCATTGAGATATTTAGTTAGCTGTTTTAAATTAATATAGCATAAGTATATAATTTTAATGTTAAGAGTAACTTTCCATTAACACTGACAAATTTAGATTGAAATATGAATATGAAGACCATAGATAAATTTGTATATTAAAATTATCAATGTTAAATCCATCTACTTTTTGTAATTAAATAAACAAAATTTATTGCTTATATTTACTAGGTTTACGCTCAAAGTTTATATGGTACAGTAGTCTTAGATGGTGATTCTTGGTTGGTCTACTGGTTAGATCGGGCTTTACGCCATGGACTGCGTACAGAAAGACATGGATATTGGGGCACTGCTCGTGAGCTTAGTCATCAGGATACTGTTGTTGTAATTCATGCTCTTCAAAGTGTATTAACATCTATCGGAAAAGGTGAATTGGGCAAATAAATTTAGCATTGTACAATTTAATATTTATATTAATGTATCTTTATGTTTTCTAGGAAGAGCATGGCTTTACCATACTCTTAGCGAAGGCAGCTTTGAAAGTTATTTAGCCTGCTTATTACGAGATACAAAAACATTAAAGAAACAATATTTTCCACATGCACTTGTACGAGATGCAGATAAAACTAACCAATTAGTTAATCTTCTTGCTGGTTTAGAAAATGTATCTTTTACATTGCAACTGGTATGTAAAATTATTTTTTGAAATATTCATAAAATGTTAAGAAAATTTATTGTGTGATGTTATTTTCTCAGTTCAAATTTTTCATATTATAAAGATCAATATTCCATGTATATTACAATATATTTATATTGCACTTTATGTTCTTTTATATTATGTACATATATCAAATTAATTTTATATTATGATCAATACAAACTAATGACCTCCACACACATATAATCATCAGCATTTTACATAAACTTGTTTCTCAATATTTATTTTATGTTCTTTATGTTGATATCAATATCACCCCATGGTTACAATTATCTCAATAATGAATTATGTCTGTTATTTAGAGTTGTATATTGAGATGAATCTGTTTTTATGAATTTAAGGGGCAATAAGTTATCATACATATAAATTTATTTTTCATATATGTATATTTTCTTCTCTGTTTATTTATGGAAAGTCCCATGCAAATAATTTGTAATTACAGATTTTTATTTAGAATGTGTAATTCTTATGATGCATTCCTTTTGTTTTATTGTTAATAAAAATAATTCTTAAGAATTTATACATGATATCAAGAATTTTTATAATTCAATTTAAAAATTAAAATATGTATAAATATTATTTAAAAATTAAAGTAATAAATTGTAATTGTTTGTTACTTAGGATGTCACATACCTTGATATTTGCAATTACATGCCTCAAAGGCCTATGAGTGTGAATCCTTCTGGAACTATATTATCATTACATCTCAGATCATCTAGTGTTTCTTCGAGTTTAGCTTCTCCTGGTGATAGTGGAATTGCTTTTGACAGTGATATGGATCTTGCTAATGAAACAGATGCTAGTAGTTACAAGGAGGTATAGTTTTGTAATAAAACTTATATTCAACAATATAAATTTTTTTCTTCATATAGATTACATGCCCATTCATATTTTTAGGAAGATTTTCATTTGGAAGAAACTCCAAGGTATCGAAATAATAGGTACAAAACAATGATAAACAACTGTAGAGAAGACAATAAAAATTTCAGCTCCAGTGATTCTAGCGAAGATGGAAAAACACCTACACAATCACCAGGAATGGTTACCAAGTTTCAAACTGCGATAATGACGAAAAGTGATATAGCGAATCAAAATTTAACTAGAAAACTTGATGATAATGAGCTTAATTGTTCCAGTTTGGATACCTTAAAAGGTTACGATTTTTATAGTAAAAGTTTAGATGAGTCAAAATTAGATAAAATAAGTAATAAAAATGATAACGGAATTAAAGAATTGAATAAAAGAACTACGTACTACAGCGATGGTAGTTATAGTTTTAAAAGAAATATTGATCCCCGAAATTCATATGTAATCAACAATGATACAAATCTTTTAGAACTTAGTATGACGATTTCAGATTGTGAAAATACAGAACCACCATATGGTATTTTGAATACTATCAATGTGACCGATGCTAGTATTTTATCATCTTCTAGCTCTGAAGCTATAGTGCAACGTAGGCAACGCAAAAAGAAACGCGGGGAAAGTAAAAAACGCGTCAGTTTTCATGAAGATATTTTAAAAACGATGAAATTGGACGATGATGAGAATTATGCTGATTTTTCTATGAGTTTTTTAACACCTAATTCTGTTCAGAAAAAAGATGTGCAGAAAGGAAGATATAGTTGGTGCGCTCATGGAGATTCTCCGTATGTTCAAAGAAATGTTAATCCCAGAAATGCACATTCGGATTATTATTCTTATTCTTCATCATCGAGTGTGTTTGATAGTGATTGTGAAAAGAAAGGATCAAAGAGTTGCGAACAAGTTCCATGTCAAACTAATTGCAAGTGTGCTTGTGGATTGTCACTTTCAGAGAGAGGCGCGCCAGAAGGCCAAGAAGATCCTGGTAAAGCATTTAGACCAAAAATGGAAATTGAATTAGAAGAAAATGAAGCCCAAGAAGCATACATTATCGAGAAAGAATATGGAAATATAGTAGAAGATCCTCCAACGAAAGTTCAAATGCCTTGTCCATCTAATTCGAAAAAATCTAATTCTAGTGATTGGTCGGATGTTGATAATACTACTACATCGGATATGGAAGAACGTAGAGGTAGCAGACATTTAGCTTCACCATCCAAAAAACGTAACATGACATCAATACTAACAGGAGAAAATAGCAACAAATTATTAGCACCGCCACCTTTAAGACAAGCTCCGTCTAAAACATCGTTGTTAAGCAGATTTTTGAAATCTATTACAGAGAGAAAATTCGAAGTTAAAAGAAGTAAAAAATCACAGAAAACGAATCCTTTATATATCAAGGGTGTTAAAACGAGTTATGATTCTTTTAAAGAATTTAATGATAACCTTGATCGAGAAATACAAGAGAACGTGGCGGCAGGGAAACAAGAATTTAGCGGAGAAAAAGTTAGCTTAAAATTACGAGAACTTTTCAAGAAACATATTTATAGGGATAAAACGGAAGAATTATATAAAGTATATAAAGTTAGGAGTTCGTATATGACAAATGGGGAAAGTAAACCAATGATTGCTTTATTAACAGATAAAACGTTATATTTAACAGGTTCGAAACCAGACCATACTTATAGTAATCAATTTGTTATTCCTTATAACGAATTAGATGTTATTATGGTAAGTTTCATTCGAACATTACTGAACTTATAACGTTTAAATACTAAAGAAATATTCTTTTCAGGTTGGACCAAATGCACAAACAATACTATTGTCAAATGCAGATTACGAAATGCAGTATTTATTTTCTACGGGAAGTTCCCAAACAACTTCAGAGTTAATTGCCCACTTGGAGATGGCTATAAGAAGATCTCCAATAAAACCAAGACTTCCAGCAGTTAAAGTATTGAGTTACGAAGACATGCATATTTTAAGGCATTCTGTCATGTGTGATACTGCTGTTCATCCTGTATGTAAATTTTATCGTATTGAAATAAGTTATTAGTTTTCTCCTTAGCTATTAGTCTAGTCAAGAATTACTAGTCCTCCGTTTTCCATTTTTACGAATTGTTGTAATTTAACATTTTAGGATGAAAAAATTGAACACTATAATCTCATTTATATGGAAGATGAACATATGTCACCACCTAGTACGCCATGTGGTCCAACAAAAGAAGGCGATCTTATGTACAGACCACATACGTATCAACAACTTCATCCTAATGCTCCAACGAATCCATGGGAAGCTGGATACTTTGTTCTTAAAGGTGGAGTTGTTTACATGTTTACGGATGCAAGTCAGCGATTACCGAAACGAGCTATTCCATTGAAAGGTGGACTTTGTCAAGGATGTCGAAGAATCCCCAATTCTCATCGTCCTCATACATTCGAGATACTTTTAAAGCCAAATAAAGCCTTTCAATTTGCTGCTCCCGACGAATACGTTGCATCCGAATGGTTACAAAGCTTTGTTCAAAGTGCTTCTGGATTGTTCGATGTTACGGAAAAAAGAAAACCTTTGCCATGTAGTCTTATTACAACTACTAAACATTTAGTAGCTATGAAAGAAGTATTTCCTGGTAAACAACGTGGACAAACACTTTCTTGTGCTTCTGTAGAAGATCTCACAGCCTTCAGAGTACCTTTAACTCAACAATCTTGGTGTATACTGGTATGTATCTAAAATTATGGACAGTCCTATAATTTTTATTTTTTTATATGTTATTTCCAGGAATTTGCATGTCGAGAAGTACATGAAAGTAGTGGCGATTGGGTTATATATTTTACGAATTACACAGAATTATGTACCTTTAGAGAAATTTTAGAAACATTATGGGCTGATGCAAGTTTGGTACGAGTTTTCTTATTTTCAATTGTTACGAGATATAAAAGTGAAGATTACATTCCATTCAATATATAATTTAAAACGATTCATATTTTAACAGGGTGAATTTCCTATGGTGACGCTTCCACCAGAAGATAAGCTTCATCGACGTTGCTCAGATGCCAGTAAAGAACTAGAGCTTGCATGGCGATATTTATTACCTACAGTAATCGATTAAACAATAAGGCGTACCAGTAGATAATAGCTATTGCATCGTCATATCTAGTAGTAGAAATTATGAAACATAAATATTTGAATGAATCAATTCATATGTTACAGCAATTTGATAAAATCGGATATAATATTATAAACAAGTAATTACTCAAAATCAATATTTTACGTTCCTCAACTAACGAGGAGTGGTGAATGCGAAAGATCATATAAATATAAATTACAAATATTTAGTGATACGTAATTATTGATGTGCTAATTTAATAAAATGGTGCAATATGTTTTTAATAGCGTAAACCATAATATGAATAATTAATAATTAACACACGACTGTAATATAATAATGAGTGCGTAAAATTACTGTTATATGAATGTCTATATAATCACATTTATAACTAATTTGCATTTGAAGGTGCACTATAGATACCAAATGATTTTGAAAATAATACTAATACAAAGGCAGTAAGACGTAGTACAGCTTCTATAATGAAAGATTAGTCTATAAATTGCTTTTGAAGTAAGTGTATAACGTATAATTAACATTCCTATTAATAATACTGATAATAATAATGGTAATTATAATATATAACGCAGCTTTTTAATTTTATTTTTGATATCTTTTGTTTATATATGTATTTATATCTTTTACTATCTTAAAATTGTTGTTTTGATTAAAATTCTGATTATTATGCTGTTAAATTTAAAAATTATTGTTATTTGCAAGGTGCTTTTATTTAATAATTCGATATTTGCAGCAGATAAATAGCGAGAAAAACTTGTAATGAGATAGTTTTTTTTTATAAATCGTTATCGATAGTATGCATTTTGAAATGGAAGAAACTGTTTTGTATAACAAAGAAATTTTTTCTAATATGAAAATTACATTATTTTCTAATTTTTTTCTATAATGAACAAGTTATTTATCTTACCAAGAACAAGAAATCGATGCTGTAAATCATTGTGAATAAAATTTTAATTCTATGTGCATTGTTGTGATAAAATATTAAATTAAAAAGACTTATTAGTATGGGCAATATGAAACTTGCGTACATGATATAAAATTGGAACATAATCAACATATATTAGTTTCTAGTATGGAATTAGAGGAAAATGATGTTGTAAATCATACATGCTTCGATTAAGCATGTAAACATGTCAAGTATTCCTAAATGTTATAGTCATGGAATTTTTGCACAATGTCACCACCGTGATCTTTAAATGATCTTTAAAGTTACAAACAAAAAATAAGTAGAAATAAAATTGTAACTAGTCAACAAAATAAAAGTAAAAACTTGTCTTATTCTTTTTTCTTATACAATGTAATGAAGAATTTGAAGTTTAATTATACATTGGACATATCTTTTATTTTATTTTTATTATAATAAATTCTACATAATTATAACGTATTTATCATTAAATGCTTTATATTATCAATTTATGCCGGTATTTTTTAAATTGAATTGTACGTAAAACAACATGTAATGAGAATAAGCAATAACATTTAATGTTATCTTAATTTAAAATATCTTTATCAATATTACAATCTATTTAAGTTCTATGTAATGAAAAAAGATATTTAATCGCGTACAAAATGTCCCTCCGTCTTTCTTAACTTCTTTACCTTTTCTATATCTGCCAATGGATATTGTTCTTTCACAGCTTCCATATCAAGATTGGGGAAAATTCGCATCAAAGTAGCTACCCTATTTATTTGACGACTGAAACAACAAAGATTTTTACAGATTAGAGATGGTTCATTAAAAAAATTGTTTTATAATTATACTGAAGAAATACATACTTTCTTGATTTACGTTTTTCATTCCATAATTTTTCTCTATAAAGTCGCAAAAATTTAGACACTGCATATCCACCATAACCAAATTTATGTGTTTTATGCCATTCAGGATTTGCATGTTTTGGTCTAGAATATTGTTGCAATCGATAACGGAAACGCAAACCTATATAGCATAATTGATTCATAACAAAATTTTTGCATATTTTATAACATATAGAATAAAAATATAAAATTTTACCAAGAGGATTATATTTTAATGTTACAGGTCGTTCTCCAGTTGTTCCAGTTTCAAGCATGTAATATGCTTTATTCCTTTCACGAACTATTGATTCTAAGTTAGCCATGCTATCTTCAACTTTATCAATTCGTTCAGGATTTGGAAAATATTTATATTCTCGCTTATAAATTTCTTCCATTGTTAACAGCATATTGCGTTCTTTTAATAACACATACCTATGTTAATAATTTTTATTACTATAAGATATTGTTACATTTTGTAAGATTTGTGTTTTACCATAATTTATGAAGTTCTTCATTGCTTTTTAACCTTAGTTCATCTTTTTGCCAAGAACGGCCAACACGTACTTTATTTTTGTCCCAATTTTTTGGATCATCAAAAAATTCCATCAAGTCATAACGTTTACATGTAGTGTGAATGAGACTACATGGAAAAGTAGGCATCCTAAATAATTTAAACAATTTCTGCATTGCATAAACAATAATTTTACAACTTAATAGACATTTATATATTTATAAACTAAATCAATACAATTATTGTTATTAATTTTTATGTATAGATAAAAGCATACTTCAAATATCAAGTATTAAATAATAATTATAAAATGTATAATCATTTGAAAAAAATATTTGTAAGCAAAAAAATATTACATTCGTAAAACTAATATCATACACGTTAATAACGTATACATGCGTTTACGTTAAATAAAAAAAATTATTCGACACATAACCTTTAATTTTATTGAAGTCAAAATAATTTATTGAATAGAAATAATATAAAAAGTCATAAAAACCTTTGAATGAACATTGAACTTCTAGAGTTAATATTTTGCGATAAAATTAAATTCGTAAACAACTTCGTCACATTATTTACAGCTTTCGAAATCTGCACAATCTTCGTGAAAGTTGCCATTTTACCAAGTATTACCAAGTATATTTCGTTACTAACAATAAGATTTCTGATTGAACATTGATATAAAATTTAATGAAATAAAAGTTCGTTATATAAAGGAATCATCACATATTAAATAGAATTTAATTAGGATCTAATTACGATCTAATTACGAAAATTCATTAATCTTTTTTTTTTATTAGCATTAATGAAAACTAGATCCATTTACTGAAATATCACCGCGTAGCGGTGAAATAATAGAACTAATCACTATTACTGTCCTTGTCTACGTATATCCTGCCATCTATAAAAAAAAATGTAATAGAAGCCTAGATAGCAGCACCACCACAAACAAGGAAGACGATATTGTATGACAAAGACAGATATGTTGTATAACAGACAAGGAATACAACAAGGATGGGACAAGGATAGCGGTAGTGATTAATTCGATGAAATTTTCAATTGCAAAAAGAATCAAATTAGAAAGATTAATTTACATTCTTTTACGACTGTATTTTCCTAAATGGACCCTCAACTTTTTTCCATATTCTGTTTTACTTAACTTACAAAATATATGGATAAATATTTACAAATTTTATTAGATAGGTCGAAATATTCACTCAATTATTCCGTTCTTAATGCGAATGAAGTATAAGGAATAATATATAAAATTAAATTAAATTTATTGTAATAATTATAGTATTTATTATCACAAACTATCAGTTAGATCATATACAATAATGTAAGAAGAATTAATCGTGATTTTCGTAAGTTAATTTCATAACATAGAGACATCATTTAAAAAAAAAAACCACCTACTTTTTAAATTAATGTACAATTTTTTTCATTAAAAAGTAGAAATTCGTTTACGTTACGTTAATTTTTGACAAGATGAAAATATTTAACAATATTCCATTGCCAATAAATGTATCAAAAAGTTGATTAAGAGCACCTTTCAACATTAATTATACTTACAATCGTATAAAAATTATATTGCTTTAACATGCTACTATATACACTGGTAATTATTTAATATTATTGATATATGTATATGAATTCTTGACTGTTGCCTTTCTTCTTCATGTATTACAACTAAGTTAAGGTGCTCGTGTATTTAAAAATCTTTTTATAAAATATATTTATATATTTTGCATATGTACGCATATATTTACATATATACGTACGCATCAACGTATGTTATATATGTATATATACGCATATTTAAAATTTAAAAGATGAAACTACAGTTCACGAATATATCATCAATTTATTTCATTTATAGGAATTGCATATTTTGGAATGTACCACTAACAGAAAAAGAGTAAGACAAATGTGGTAAAATTGTTTAAACACTGCTGAGGAATTTGTTAAAAATTTAATTCTCATACAGTACTTGAACTGTAGTTTCTAAAGGCTAGATCGGAACTTGGTCGTTCAATTGATTTTTATTAAAATATTGCTCTTCACGTTGAGAAGATTATACACACACGTGTACATAAGTATATATTTATGAACATATATTTATATTGTAATATATAATTCATAAATGTATACATATATACTTATATTTATAAACAACTGTTGGAGTTTATATAACGATAAAAAACGAATTCTTAAACAATAACAAAGTATACCACATGAAACTAAAATCACATAAACGTTCAATATCCAGAAGGATTTCTTGCCCGTCTTTTGACATTACGATTATTTTGATTGCGAGAACGTAACAAATGTTTCAATTCCGCATAGTCGTCGTTCGTAACGTCAATTTCCGTTTGTCTCTCACTGCTCATTATTTTCTCTAAAAAGATTCCATCTTTCGAGTATTCGCGACACAGTGTAACTTACTTCGAAAGAAAACTTCACAAAAATTATGTATTGTAAAAGATCAGTTCAGTATTTTTACGGGCAACAGTAAGTATAAATTCGTTTTTACGTGTTTTTATAATATAACATTACTGTACAAAATTTAAAATCTCGATAAACTTTCGTAATACCGTCCGCCGATACAATGAAGGTCACTTTAATAGTCTTCCTTATATTCTATACTTCGGTCACTAGTAGTTTAATTGCCACTCTTCCAAAAATCAGCGTTATAAAATTTAAGATAATTCTCTAATTAATTTTCCTTGTTAACAACTTGAAATACTTCTGTTTTGTTCCCATGTTTCAATCCAACTATATAATTCTTTTTCTTTTACATCGATATTAATTGAATACGTTATTTTATATTAATATGAACAAATAGATTTTTATGCATAGACACATGGCAATTAACAAAGCGACACATGCGTCATCGCAGGCAAACGTTCTGTACATAAACTCGCAGACTTAATACAGTGTATATTTAATAGGAAGTTTGGTCCGACAGTTCTGTACTAATTGCTGATTGCGTCTCTTACATGTTTACGTCTTCACATGTGAATCGTTGCTGCTGTATAACGTGCTTCTCCTCTTCGCCAACTCCATTGGCTTGGTCGGTACTGTTTAAAAAGGGAGAATAAAATATTTATTTAAAGTAGCCTATTCCTTGTTTTCCCTCGTACACAAATGGTAATAATCCTTACCCTAATTAACATTTGTCCGGACGTGCTATGAGGATTGCGGTAAGCATATGCAGCCCACGCAGCCAAACCTACGACTAAACCAATTACAAGGAGAATTCCAATAATTCCCGAAACTCCCATGTTCATATTATTCCGAGCTAAGAACATGTAAAAGTAAAATATTATTACATTATTATTATATTACGTATTGAACGATCGTAAATCTATATTAATACGTATTATAACACTAAACGTACCAAGCGGGGTCAAATGACCCTTTTTCAAAATTTATTTTAAAATCGTACATTCGTTGTTATTTCTTTCGCTAATCTGACTTTTTGTAAATTCTTATATTACCTGATTGTTCGATTTCTCGTTTTCTATTTTTCTCTTAGCTTATTTTTTACTGAGAAAAATTCTTTACATACCTTACGTACCGCGAGGGGTCATTTGACCCCTTATGATTGACCCGTAAGATAGATATATGTAAAATGCCGATACGTTTAGTGTTAGTAACAGAAATTGAAATATTTACAACGCTCTAAAGGACTCGTTCCAGGTTTCTCTTGTTTCGCATTCATTTCACTAACGGTAACAGTTTCTTCCGAATGCATACGTAAAATATGATTGTATTCGTCGACATGTTCCTTGCACGTTGTGTTTGGTAACGGGCAATTGTCAACTTCCTTTATCATCCGAACATCGCATCCTTTCAACAGCCAATCTTGCCGTGATCTAGACGTTCCGGTACTGCATTGATTCAGTTCCGTGCACCACTTGCATTCGAAGCCTTTCAATTTCGTCAAGCAATCTCTGCAATTATCCATTTCTAAACAGGTTGGCAATGCGTGTAGATAAATCACTGTCCAATTCTTAATGTCCTGTCGATTAAAGTTTACGCGATGATATTCGTAAATTGTCTTTCTGCGAACAACTGTGAGAAAAAGAAAAAAAGAAAAACAACTTAAAAATAGTTACTGTCCTTTTAAAAATTTATAAAATATGAATCTGATATAATGGCTTTAAAATAAAATAGTTGTAACTATTTTACAGAACACTTACAGAAGACTATTCTGTCCATGATATAGGCGTCGCTAAGGCCAACTTTAACAGGATGCGCCGTGTCCTCAATAAGACCCACTGTCAGAGGGATTACCGAGTATACAAACACAATGTCACCGTTTTCATGCAGAGTCACTTGAAAAGTGAATGGCCCAACATCAGGTTTGTCCTGCAATACCACTTTTTCCCATACAACCGTAAATGCTGTCCCTGCAATTTTAACACTCTCGTCTACTTAGAATTCTATTTTATTTGCAGACATGTGTTTCCTTTATTGTTATTAGCCGTTTGCTACTAACCGTTGTCAGCGTATTTCACGTAACTATCGTTAGATAGCCGCGTATCGAAATTTGCCATTAATGGTGCGATGTATTGAGTGGCGGCTAGCCAGCTGTGTACGTACTCGCCCGTGTAGAGGAATCCCCCGGTGGCGATGGTGATGTTACGAACTTTGTGACCGTAGAACGGGAAATCGAACTTCAATTTCACTGTCTATCAGAAGAAAAGCAAGGGAAAAGTTAATAAAGCGAAGAAAAGCACAGAAATTAGATTTGTGTTGCGAGTGACTTTACTTGTACACTACCAATTGTAAGTTCTTTTCATTCTTTTGAATTTCCATAAGGTGAAGAAAAGTACAAAAACTTGATTTGTGTTGCGAATAACTTTACTTGTACTAATTGTAAGTTCTTTTCATTCTTTTGAATTTCCCTAAGGCGAAGAAAAGCACAGAAACTAGAATTGTGTTGCGAATGACTTTACTTGTACATTACTAATTGTAAGTTCTTTTCATTCTTTTGAATTTCCCTAAGGCAAAGAAAAGCACAGAAACTACATTTGTGTTGCGAATGACTTTACTTGTACATTACTAATTGTAAGTTCTTTTTATTTTCTTTTGAATTTCCCTAAGGCGAAGAAAAGTACAAAACTAGATTTGTGTTGCGAATGACTTTACTTGTACATTACTAATTGTAAGTTCTTTTCATTCTTTTGAATTTCCCTAAGGCAAAGAAAAGCACAGAAACTAGATTTGTGTTGCGAATGACTTTACTTGTACATTACTAATTATAAGTTCTTTTCATTCTTTTGAATTTCCCTAAGACAAAGAAAAGCACAGAAACTAGATTTGTGTTGCGAATGATTTTACATTACTAATTGTAGGTTCTTTTCATTCTTTTGAATTTCTCTAAGGCGAAAAAAAGCACAAAAATTAGAATTGTGTTGCGAATGACTTTACTTGTACACTACTAATTGTAAGTTCTTTTTATTTTCTTTTGAATTTCCCTAAGTCTCCCTAAGTTAATTAAAACGTTTCATTCGTTATTTCATCTTTGTCTTCGTTCAATGTTTAGTCATTAATTCATAGCAGATAACAGGGAACAAATATTTCAATATAGATTGAGAAAACATACACGAGCAAATCCTAGTACATTATAGGTGGAGAAAAAAATGAAAGACGCATATTATACTGACCGCAGCTCGACGATGACTCTGACTGAGTAAGTAATTGACTTTCAAATCTGGATGATTATTTATATCCACCCAGTACTTTTTCCCCACTGCCTCGTCGATGATGAACGTGCTGTTGTAATATTGATGCGTATCGTACTCCATTTTCGTAATATTGTGCTGGGACAAAGTCGTGTTACTCAGCTCTGAGAACTTGCTGATGGATATGTCTCCGATATTGCTATCGGAATCGTCTTTGCTCTCCGTTGACTCTATCACGGTCTCCGTGCCTTTTGTCGAATTTTTATTACTCTCGGTAGTTCCATTTATAGAATTTGACTTATCTCCCGAAACTATGGACGGGACCTGCAAAGTGAGAGAAACATAATTTTGAGTAGATCGAAAGGGGCCATTTTGTCAAGCTTACGTTTAGGGTGTTCACGACAAACCTCTTGTCTTGAAAAAAAAGTCGAATCTTACCGGTTCTTTGGACGAGGAATTCTTTCCATAGATTGCTATTACCGGCGTTGAGGTCTCCGGTTTGTTCCCTCTAGAGGCTCCACCACGCGTCACGGACGCCTGTTTGCCCGACGAAACCGTAGTCGAGGATGGAGACGACGTAGCGAGCGTCGATTCTGTCGGGTAAGTCAGGTAGGAAACGTTCGCCGGTACGTTCGAGGCATTCACAATCGTCTGCGGTTGTTGTTGCTGCGGCTGTAGCTGCGGCTGCGGTTGTGACTGTTGCGGGGCGGCTTGTTGCTCCGGTTGTTGCTGTTGCTGTTCCTCCGGTGGGATTTGTTCGGTCGGAGGCTCTGGTTTCTCGTCGTCGATTCCTCGACGAAGCCTTGCCAGAGCTTCTTCACCGTCGTCGAATGCATCCTCGGAGGGCAGGAAAGAAAATTTAACTGGCCCGTGCAACGACCGTCCTCCCGAATGTCCCAATTCGTAATGGCATCGATCTAGAAATATTCGAGCAAAAGCTTTAGTCAGTAGAGGAGACGACCACGTCCAGTGTCGCGGAATTAAATAAAATGTGAATTTTTCACGAGTTTGGCCTTTTCGATCGAGTCAAACCGTGTAACGCCGTGGTTCCCAAACCTGGGGCCAATTTATTTTCTAGGGGACGAGGTTCTAAATACTAGAACTACCACACCAGTCAAAATTATTGGTTTTGCAATTTTATTCTAAAATTTCTATTTCGTGTTACATTCTTCTTCCGCAATGATGTAATGACTTTTGTTTTATTTTCATTTATTAGAAATCAAAACAATTTTGTATCATGGCTATTTATACCAATACTAGTCAAAGTGTAAAACAGTTCTACAATCTGTTTACCGAATTAATCAGTTTTCTACAACTTGTC